AGGTCGGCTTGCCTTGAGAGTGCGCTTCCTCTGTGCCTGCCAGGTCCCGCAGCTTCCGGCGCGCCTCGGGCGGCGGGCGCCGCCACCCCGGACCGGACCTGGCGGCGCACGCGCCACCCCGACCACAGCCTGGGCGCCAGCGGTGGCGGAACGCGGCAGTGGCACGTCTAGCCTCACCTCCGCAGCTAAACCATCCGAGTGGGCGAGCGCGGTCAGCTGCCGAGGGTGGACTGCCGGCCGCCGGCGCGTCACCGGGGGCTCGTCGGTACGCGACTGCAGTGCTGCCCTGGGCCTGTCCCGCCCGGGCAGCGGGTGACCTTGGCGCCGGGCCGGACGGCACAGGCCGCGCTGCCGATCTGAACACTCGCCGACGGCGAGTTGGGACAAATCCGGCAGGACCTTGGGCTGCCGGTCACATGCCGAGAGCTGGAATGGGCCATTAACGTGGGCAGTGGAAGAGAGTTCAATGCCATCGGAGTGCCCACCGTGTACTGTCCAACCCTTATCCATCCAGCCATTGCTAGCTCAGGGTCGACGAGCCGATGTCATATTGGCTAAGGAAGAGAGTGCACAGTAGGTTTGCAGATATTGGCAACGCTACACCCTGGGTGGATTTTTGGAGCAGATTTTTTAACGTTACGTTGCAAACCCAGCTTGATCCCTTGCACGTGACTTGCATGCGGCTGAAAGATCGCGCCGGCAGCCGCGTGACTTAACACGTGATCAAGTGGGGGTCAATTTGACCGCCGCCCTCCTCCCCCCCCCCCGAAATTTTTTAGAGAGCGAGTTCTCAACGGTGCGACGCAGCCTCACCTCACCAAACTGTATAGAGCTGAAGACAATGTAATAGCTGTTTTAGAAGTAAAAGTTAGATATGCCTTGTAAGATCACCGACCTATGGCTGTCGAAATTCATACAATAGCTTTCAGCGAAGACAAAAACTAAGGAATCGCTCAATCTGAAGCGGCAGTGGTATGATATACAAAGCTATACATTTTAAAGATGGTTTCTTAAACACTTAAGCACTGAAATTTTGGTCTACTAGTTTTATTGACCTTGAGCCAGATATGAAGGTCAGACCATGGCCAAAGCTTATCGCTCTGTTACTAGAAAACTTGCGCTATGGGGTAGTTTTTGACACTTTTTCGTACTTATCAATCACAGGGACGTCCACAGGCATGTTGTTTGGATTTCGCAAGTGTAAGAGGAGGCCACTGGCCTAAAATAAGGTAAGAAAGTAAGTGACTTTCCTAAGCCATTACGGTAACTGGTCTAAAATGAATACCGACGACTTTTTGTTTAGCAGAGATATCTAGGATAATTTGGTTGCGTGAGGAGGTATAAGGGCACTTGGGACGCCAATCTGGTATTTGACCTTGTTTGACCTTATTTGACCCGAAGGTCACGAGCAGGGACCTTTGACTCACGTGAGTTCACATACAGGCCCACCTACAGGCGAACGTGTGCGGAGTGATCGCCGCGCCCATGAACACCTGGCGAGTCAATGTGGTTCAGCATCCACGTTCCGTGAATCTAATTTAATAACGGATTGCATGTGTATTCTATTCAGGCGTGGTTTCGTGACCGAAGGCCATCCCCTCGAGAAGAGCCCGTTTGATACTGCTCTCAAATGGGGCGGCCACTCGTGTTAATAAGCCCCCTGGGCAGTTACAGTATCTGAACATCACGTAATGACTTGGCTACAGTGTCAGCATGCGCACCTGTTTGGAACAGCCGTGATCATGAATTTGGCACAGGCTGCAAAGACTTATATGAAGCGATGAAAATATTGGCCGTGGAATTAACTGCTGTCGCTGCTTTACCATGCTCTCTTCGGAGTAGGTGCGGTTAGTTGATCCATCCGTCCTTTTGATGGTTGCTACATGAGCTCGTACAACTGCTCCAGTAGCGATCACACCCAGTTGCGACTGCTGTAGGAACTGTTTATGAACTGTTTATGAACTGTTTATGAACTGAACTGCCATCGCCGGGGTTTACAGCATGCTCCACAAGAGGTCGCGACACTTAGAAAGAGGGGTGGTGAGGAGAGAGACAGGGTAAGGAGAGAGAAGCTGAAGAGAGAGAGAGAGAGAGAGAGAGAGAGAGGAGAGAGAGAGAGAGAGAGAGAGAGAGAGAGAGAGAGAGAGAGAGAGAGAGAGAGGAGAGAGAGAGAGAGAGAGAGAGAGAGAGAGAGAGAGAGAGAGAGAGAGAGATGAAGAGAGAGAGAGAAGAGAGAGAGAGAGAGAAGAGAAGAGAGAGAGAGTAAGAGAGAGAGAGGAGAGAGAGAAGAGAGAGAGAGAGAGAGAGAGAGAGAGAGAGAGAGAGAGGAGAGGAGAGAGAGGAGGAGAGAGGAGAAGAGAGAGAGAGAGAAGAGAGAGAGAGAGAGGAGACGTAAGAGAGAGAGAGAAGAAGAAGAGAGAGAGAGAGCAAGAGGAGAGAGAGAGAGAGAGAGAGAGAGAGAGAAGAGAGAGAGAGAGAGAGAGAGAGATAGGAGAGAGAGGAGAGAGAGAGAGAGAGAGAGAGAGAGAGAGAGAGCGAGAGAGAGAGAGAGAGAGAGAGAGAGAGAGAGAGAGAGAGAGAGAGAGAGAGAGAGAGAGAGAGAGAGACTGAGACGAGAAAGGCTGAGGAGACGAAGGCTGAGGAGGCAAACAGTCGGCGAAGCTCGTCATGATACCAGCTTGAAAAGGTCGACTAAATTGCAATGAAGAGATTCAGGGCGTCTGATTCCAAGCCTTATTCAGTCGTCTGTCGTTCTTTTACCATGTATGATGCACCTGTACGGTAAGAGCTGTCATAACTCAGCGACATTTAATTCAAAGCCAGGCCCGCTATACGGTCCATCATTCAGTTTCATAAAACGGTCTCGAGGAATTTCACGTGTTATGCTGCAGAACGCAGCGAACTTAAATAACGGTATAGGATGCAGTTCGCTGCCATGCGCGACATGATGGTTAGTGGTAAGGTATCTTGGACACCCACATATTATCCCAAAAGTTTTTTTTCCGCGGCCACAGAAAGTTTTTTCCGGCACTATGGTGGCAAGAGGATTCCTTGTCACCAAGCGACCGCTTCTCCCGTATGACGCATCGGGCGAAATTTTGGACAAAGTCTGGTTATCCCACAAACCACAAGCTGCCATGGGAGGGGATAGCCGGCGCTGAAGCGTTAATCCGTTTGGGAAGTTTGCAGGGGACTTTCCGCAGGCCAACATGCGTGGTAGCGTGCACGCCGACATCCACGCGGATCAAAGGTCACCCCCCGCCAACGAGATCCACCCACTGACGCTCTAAATGCGGGCAAAAGCTCAAGAGCTAGCTAGCTGCCCCTTTGCAGGCGCATCATTTGATGCGTTTGCAGCGGAATGGGTTGCCTCCTATCACTAAGTCCGGATCACAGTGGCTGGGAATGCCTATGCTCCAAGCGACAACTGCCGGGATTTGATCCTTCAGGATAGCTGATATCATAGTATCATTGGATGTTCCATTGCCATTTTTCCTGGACACCCGTCTATCTGCATCACGCTCCATTTGCTGAGACGCTGTGAACCGCAGTCGCGGGTCCAAATCCCCCGGATCTAAACAGAGCCATGCAAGCCGAGCTTACTGTAATTGCACCTGAAAGATATGGACCAAAGGGCGACATTCGTGACAAACACAGCAAGTTGCTAAGCAAGGTCAGACAACACGCCAGTGTTTGCTGGCTGCTCAGCACAAGCGCTTGCACTTAGCAACACACCGGATCACCAGAATGCAAGCCTTTCTCTTGGCCGCCGAAATGAGAAGAATGAAAACCGCATCAATCACGAGAAAAATCTTTACAACCGATGGATAATGGAAACCAAATAACAGTTACGTCGTCGTGTAAAAGCGATTTCAACATCTTTGTTAACGTCAAAATTGGGCTTTCCTTGCCCAGAAACCGGAAAGGTTCGCTTGTTTGTGCTCATGTTGCAGGACAGGATTATTGCTAGCGAGGATGTGGGAAAGTACAATCTGTCAGATCTTGTACGTCAACAGCAGAGGCATTTGGCAACTTTGCCTTGATGTATTGGTCTCGTTAAGTTGGCTGGGATGAGTCTGACACTAATCTTCCTTCAACTGAGAGTTACGAGAAACTGTGCATCAGATTCTTTTTCGGAATGAAGTGCTTCGTACATCACATGCAGGTGCTGGCGATAATTTTCGTTTGATTGCCGCAATGGTAGATATACGCAAGTAATTAAAACGGATACACTTAACAGGCTGAGGAATTATTTGGCATGCATTTTGGCATGCAGAGCTTAATAATGATAGTAAGCCAATAGTGAAAGACGTCATGAAGGATGCACAATGCATTAAATACAACTGCCTGCGTTTTGTCCGACTTTCTAACTTCTGTACTTAAAATGGCACTAGTGCTTGAGCTTCGGTGACCAGGTCGAAGTTTTAAGCAGCTTGACGCCGCCACGATATTGAAACCTATAAATATGCAACATAATAAGCCAGATGACTGATGTAGCAGCATGACTTTGCCTGGTTTTACTCGACCCCAGGCCAATAACAACCACAATGCCAAGAAAAAAACAACAATATTCATAGCAGCTCGTCAGGTTTGGTGCTTGCTGCACGCATTCATCCACCGTTAACATTTTACAGGTCTGTAATTCTTCCCGTTCACAGTAAAAAAACAAAACAGCTGGCCCGTGACGTAATCTGTGACCCCTGGGCCAACTCCACGGGTCTCAGGCGACGATGAATGATGCGAATAACTCGACGCGAATGCTGGGCTTCCGACGTCAGTTTTCATTGGTCGAGCTTGTGCAGTCGATTGGTTGGCTTGGAAGAGAGTGGCCGGCAAAAACACGTGATCTGCGTGGGAAACGCCACCGTGACTATGGAGTTAAGATCAGAAGAGATCAGAGACCTCACGTCTGCCCCGCATGTGTCGGGAGTCTCTCCCGACTCCACGGCCGCCCACTGACGCCCCGGGCCGGCCGACGGAGCCTCACCCGGCCGACTCACCGCATGATGACGGCTCCGGAGGTCGCGTGGGTCCGTCTCAGACGCAGCACCCGCAGCAGCGCGACCGGCTCCAGCGGCGAGCACGGGCAGACTGGGCCGCTAGGCGCCGGCCGCCGGCGCCGCGTCTCAGCTCGTGGACCGGTTCGACACGCCGGCCTGCCCAGGTGTCCTCCGCCCTGGTACCGGGGGAGAGGGCTCTCCCCCGACCTGCCCCCGTCCCGGCCGGAGCTGAAACGAGCCAGGCACGGCGCCGGCCGGGCTGTCGTGACCTTCCCGAGCTCGGAATGCCCTGGTGAGGAACGGCTTATATGCGCTGACTCCGTGCAGGTTTAGCGTGAGCAGTGGTCGAGCGCTGCTGCATGTCATGCCGGGCGCTATCGCGGTACGTCAGTAATTGCAAGCTTTTATGCATGATCACATGCCGCCGCAAAAGAACCCGAGGTTTTTGAGGTAAGGAGAAGGGTGGAAGTCGTTAGTGGGTCGGCTAGCCCTCGCGTCCCCTTGCGTCATTGTTCACCGGAACAGAAAAGAAACATACGTAGGGGCATGATAAGTGGGGATGTCCAGCACGAGCAAGATGAATATTTGCATGGCAAACGCGGATATCACGGTACTGCTTGTGGTGTTGCTGGGGTCGTTTGCATGTGCATGGTAGTTGGCAGAGTCCTTCACAAGGCCTACTCCCTGTTTTGCGAGAAACATCAAGTCATACTTTCTGCTCTCAAGTCATGCTCATGCTCTTTGTTCTTTGGGAAACGGATTTATCGGATCAGTATCACGACACCTTGTGCGGCGTGATACGAGACGTTAACAGGTGTGGAAGGCTTCATTTGTGACCATCTAAATAGTACCAAAACCAAGCACAGGAGATGGACGCCTTTGGAAGTCGATATCCGTAAGCTCCATCATTCTGTCGGTAAATGTATTTTACGATGATTTAACAAGCGAAGGTCTTTTAATAAATGCAGTGATCATTCACTAATTCAAGATAGCATTGGTTTGAAATTGGCTGGCACATCACTGGTTTGCATTGTTTGCTCCTGGGTTTCACTGGTCCACCGTAAAAATGGGATTCTCTATCCTGGCTCACACTGGGTCTGTGAATACCAAACCCCAGCTTCTCGACCCTATCGATTTTTTGCACAGGCGCTGGTTTCTGGTTCTCAATGACTTCTTTCAGCACCAGACACTGGCTCACAATTTCCTCCGGTTCTTTCACAAATGCAAGACCTCAGCTCGTGGTTTTATTGGCACCTCAATTAGCACTGAAACCTGGTTCCTGGTTCCATTTGTTGTTTTGTAAACACCAACCCTTGCTCCCTGATTCCTACTCGGGGGCTTGGGATTCTGGCTCTTTTACAAGCACCGAAGCCTCGTCCCTGGTTCGCATGATTCTTGGTAAACACCAGACCCTATTTCCTGGTTCCAGCTGATTTTTTACCAAAACGCCATACCCTGGCTCCTGCCTCTCTTTCGCTCATTCGTCAACACCAGAACTGACTACCGTTTAACAACTGTTTACCATCCAGCATGTATCTGGAATTGCAGGAAGATTTGGCTGGCGGTAACACCATCAGGTCTGATGCCTACTTTCATCTTATGTATTGGACCACCTAAATGCGTCGATTAATATTTTCAGGCATGAACACAGTCAGGTCACAGGGTCAAGCTGCGGAGGTCAGGGCCTTTTCAAGGTCATTGAGGTCAAGGTCAGTCAGCATAATTCCTCACGAAAGTGTGAATAAAACCCAATCTGATTTACGAGTTAGTATTTCCCAGTAACGCTAATGTCGGAAGGAACTGAGAAACAAAACAGAAATGGCTTAGTTATATTTCGCCGATCAATGACCCAGTGAGCTCGGAATCACTCAATAAGTTTAAAATTAAACAACCTTAGTTACTTACTTTTTTACTTGCTTTCTTACTTAAACTGCTCGCAATTTGAGTTATTTCAACTCGCTTAGTAAAAACGAAGTCTATGATGTTTTATTGCTCCCCCACTTGCCAAAATGTCCATTACTTTGTTGTAGATAGGCCACCGGCTCAACTGATTTTGTAACGCATGACTTCAAAATTTGTGAAAAACGTTATTAACCCCATAGCCGATAGGCGTATCGGACGATTGATACTATGCTCTAAACATGTCTGCATATTCACTGAATATGCTGATCTCATCTGACCCAAAACATTTTTTAGCTTTATACGGCTCATCTGACCTTTGACAAGATCAAGCAAGGTCAAAGGATCGTCCACGGGGATACAGCGGCAAACCACACCGGCATAGTTACCATTTCAAAGCTTGTTATCGGCAGGACATGGACAGAGTATATGTGATAGAGCACCGCTACGAATTACCCATGCCGTGACAAGGAGGAAAACCGTAGCTCCTACAGCAAGCGCATCAGCCGAAAATTTGCACTGTTTTGGGCTTTAGCCATCTCGTCACCAACCGAAATCTCATGCGACCACTTCAGCCAAGGTCAGCGCTATTGTCTGCGCCCACAGAAGACATGGCTTCATCTGGAATTCAGGTGACATCAAGGGTATGCACTAGAGGACTTCACAGGCTGGCTAAACCCATGGGTACTCACGTTGGATCGGTCACAGCCTGGGTCGGGTACATATTTTGGGAAAATTAAGGTGTTGGAACGGGTCTTGGTATGGCTTTTAGGAAATATTGGGAGGTTACTTTTTTAACTGGCTAAAAAATATTACTGCCTCCTCACATTGTCATTACTTGTGCAAAATGTGGGGTTACTAAGTCATGACCTTTGGGTCAATTAAGGTGAAACAAAGTTAAACTCCAGATTGGTGTCCAAAGAGCCCCCAGAGCCTAGATACCTGTTCCAAGCAAAAGGTCACTGGTGCTCATCTAGGGTCAGCTACCTTGTTTGACCTTTTGAAGGTCATCGTGATCAAAATAATACAAGATTCTTTAAAGTTTTGCATTTGAATAAGCGTCAAAGATTGCTATGCTGACTTTTGAGAAGTCTATGGAAGATGTATAATGCGTTTCCTGCTATCAATAAATTCGGAATGAGCACCAGAAATTACCTCATGCAACAAGCCCTATAGTAATAAAGCAGGTTGTTCTTCACCTTGGTCTGGCCTTCATACCTGGCCCTAGGTTAATGTAATTTGTTCAGCCAATTCCTTTGTTGCCTAAGAAGCTATCACATACATGTATGGCTTTGTCAACACCCCGTTGTTGCATCATATTGAACGATTCCCCAGAAATCATCTTCGCCGAATCCACAGGCTGACTTTGACCTGTAGTGGGTCAGCGAGCTTAAACGGAACATGTGCAGTTTTGATACCAAATGACCAGCTATTCAACTATCTATAGCTAGGCAAAATTTAGCGAGGCTACACCGCATCGTTTGGAAACCTAGTTCAACGGATTTGTTCATTCAATTGTTGTGTTGTCTAAGAAACTATCTCAAAGATATCTTCGTCTCATACTCCGTCGTTGCATCAGAATGAACGATTCCCCAGAAATCGACTTCGCTGAATCCATGGCCTGACTTTGACCTGGGGCCGACCAAAATCTTCGTGTGGTCAAAGTGACCCCCACTCGTGTGCGCGCAACTTACCAATAACTTTAAAAGAAAGTGCACTGAAAATTCAAGCGGATGGGTAATGGATGGCTACAACTGATGCCGAATAAGTAGCGAATGGGTATGGGCGCAGCCCAGTAGATACCAGGTGGACTCGGTAGGAGGAATCTCAACTGTGAGAGCCGCGAGGCACTCCATTTCGGAACCATGGGGCTACCAAGAAATCAGCAGCTGATTGTGCACATACCTTGATCGTGGATGAGCTGACACACACCTGACGCGGTGATCAGGACAGCCAAATATAAGCGACTGTTGCCCGGAAGCATCCCGTGTAAGCCGTACGCAGGATAGAGCTGTAACTTGCCATTTGAATTTATACCTTAGGTCATCCCCGAAACCAAACTTCAGCGAAATGCAAAGCTGCTGGTACGCGATTTGGTATGCTGGTAATCGATCTGTTCTAGATGTCCTGTCCTTCCTCATTCCCCCCATAGAAGCATCATCCACCTTCCCGGAGTCATTTTCTCCATGCACACCATATGCGTGTTCAGCATTCTCGGAAATTGGGGGGACCTTCATCTCCCTTTCCTGCTCATTAGCCTGTGCTGCTCACGAAACTTTGCTGACGTATTTTTGTTAAACCAACTCTTTCCACTTTGACCACTTACGCACGTTCATTTGCTTACGAACGATTGCTTACGTACCTTAAGCATATGAGCTTTTCATGTGGACTAAATGGGAGCATTTTTCACACGTTCTGGATACCATTGTGCATTATAGCATTCATAGTTTATACCATGCGAAAATTTGCTTACGAAGTTTTGCGCACGAACTTTTGTGTACGCACTCCTACCATGTGATCTTTATGCTTTACGTACATTTGCTCACAAACCATAGCGTACGTAGTTTATGCAAAGCCCCTTTTTACACACACACACTTGTGTCCGAAATCGGTGAGAGATAGCCACATGCACTACCAGCCGCCGTCTGCAGAGGAGAAGTAGCGGATTCCGTGTCATACCGGCATTCTGGGACTGATTGCACAATGGATGGAAGGGCACAGCACAAAGTGTGTTGTCTTCGGAGGGAAAAGAGGCAGTGGCAATGCCTCCTGTGACCAGAAGTGGGAAAGGAATATTTGAAATCTGCGGACGCGCTGAGGTGCCATAAAAGAAGAATTACACTGAACAAGCAGAATTGCACCGAGGCCAGCGCCACGACCGCTGCTGAAGGTCGGCGAAAACTGAGGTAGGAACCTTGAATTGCCGTAGATGCATGAGTCAGAGCAAGACCGGGATCATGCGCGGAAGCAACTGGTCACGACATCTCGACTACTGACTGATCGATATATTCTTTCAAGGAAAATATTCACAACTGCCTGACCACTGGAAGGCATGTCGACAGCCGATGGAGATGTTTGATGTTTGTTATGGGGATGCGCGGAGCATTTATCGCCTTTAGTGTCAGATGGAAAACTAGCAACGAAACATCTTTAGCGGGTCCGACCTGTTTCGGAAACCACCACAGTTCCAAAAGACAATTCAGAAGCATACCATTTGTG